AACCCTAACCCTAACCCTAACCCTAACCCTAACCCTAACCCTAACCCTAACATCGTGAGCAAAGATGTCCTTCTGGATTGTCATCTTCAGAAGCTCAGTTAAGAAACTGGTGGTTTCTTTGGCAAGAGGGTTGAGGATGGTCCAGTCCCCCTGCTCTATCCCTAGCCAACTGATACTTTACCCCTAAGACTTTCCATCTTGCACTCATCCTGTGTGGGAAAGGTCCCTTCCCTTAAAAAGATATCCCACTGAATAGCTCTCAATGTCTATCAGCTACTGCCTCCTAGAGAGAGCCTTCCCTCTTCCTGGAAGGTGGCACAGCCTCTCAAATGACCCTCGAGGTGACATACAGGTGAATCAACACTAGAAGCTCATATCACAGGACCTTTAAGAGACTCAGCACCTTAGTCTAATGAGTTGGCATAGCTCAGTAATCAGGATAGCAGAGCTCCAGGTCTCCAAGGAAAGGCCACCTCGGCACTTACCTATGACCAGCTCAGACACCCATAGCCCCTATAGTGTCTACCGTCCCATCCTCTTGAGTATCAGTTACACAAATCTCATGTATACTGTTAGTCCCCAGGCTCCAAAGGCACCATCAGGCCTTACCTCCTGGCCTAACCCCTGTAGTGCTCTGTGTCTCTGAAGAAAAGAAGGGGGGTAATGAAAACAGGCTTACTGAACAGGGTCTCCAGGCGGATCATACAAGCCACAAAGCCGTCAAAATCGATGCCAAGCTTACTACATGCATATCGCATGGCAATGGTCTGTTGCACCTGGTTGTTGAGGGTGAAACCTGATGGCCAAGAGAGACTATGTCATGAGTGGATGGTGCAAAGATCTTCACATTTTCCCGATAGACTCCAAGGGGATGACACCACAGGGGCCCTCCATCAGTCTGTGGAAATCTGTAAAGCAGGACTCCTCTGCCTCTCCCAGGGAGTCTCAGGAGATGCTCTACCAACAAGTCCCTCCACTTTTAGAGAAGTTTCATCAGCCCCTTCCCTAGTCCAACACCGGCCCAGCTACATACCCACTATATGTGAACATAGGAAAGGTGAGGAGGTTTATATCAGTAGACCCAGGCAGAGCCCCACCCTGTAACTTCTATCACTACCTCAGCAACAAGCAGAGCCCTGAACATCCATCCCTCCTTCCTGGTTAGGATGGATCTTCAACAAGACTTTGTTGTCATGCTGGCATCCAGTGTAAGAAAGCTCTTGGGAAAGACCCTTAGCCCCCGCCATCATTAGAAACATGTGCTATTTCCAGTAAACACATCTAGGTCCTAAGACCTCTTCTACAGGACAACTCCTCACCTGCTTTCTTGAGAGCTGTTCTCATCTCATGAGCATCCATGATCCCTACATGGTTGTGGTCCATTTCTTGGTAGATCTCCTGAAGCCACAGAGAAACTCCACATGAGAATAGCATAGCCCCAGAATTGACAGTTCCCTCCAATCTACTCTCTTGAGAGGCCAAGGATACACCCAAGACAGGTTGTATTTCCGTCTCCAAAGAAATTCTGGAACAAATAGATATGGGACTAATGTCTGTATTGTGCTTTGTCTTCTGCATGAGGCTTTCATCATAGAGGTCGGCATTGGTGTCTCTCATTGCCTTTGCCTTCTGGCTCCTTTCTGAACAGTGTACCTAGGTGTGGATGGTTTTGACCAGAGTCTAGAATCTAGAACATCCCAGGAGTGAGTATTATAGAGGGTCATAAGGAAGGAATGGGGCCAGGGCCCAGAGAGATGCCCTCTCCCCAGAGGTAGTTACCAGATACGTTTGGATCTTCAGCCAGAGAGTCTTGAACTCCTCAGGTTGTAGGCTTCCTGTCCCATCACTCTAAGTTTGTTAAAGGTCAACATGGATATGCTCTAAGTCATTAGTGAGTTTCTTTCTTGTGTGAGCTGACATCAGCGCCTTGAGCCCTTAGTAAACCTTCCACATTTGCAGCAAGTCACACAATGGGGTGATGGTGGGAAGCAAACTCAAATTAAGATTAAAAAATTCGGTACTCACTACAGAGGCCAGGGGCGGAGGTAGGAACAAAGAACCACATGGGCCTAAAGCCTCCTACATCAACCCTGATTGGCCTCACACCCTGGGTGACAGCGGCTGCAGCTACACGGTAATATCAGACTCAGATTTCTGCAATTGGTGCAATTACTCATTCAAATCATGATAGTATTGTCAGAATGTCAAAACAACAACAACACAACAACAACAACAACCTATGTATTACAAGCACAAGGTCTTCTCAAAGGCTCTAATAAAACCGAAAGAGAGATATGTGTGCGGGGAAGGCTGTGTGGAACTTCCTGTATCTGACTTACCTTCCTTCATGAGTACTTACTGAGTGCTGAGCTACACATGGGACTTCGGCTCTCCATTGTCCTTACCCTCATGAATTTCAGTCTCTTTTTCACCAATCACAATAAATCTATAAACACCACTGTGTTGTGGGACAGAAACTCCTCCGAGTGTACTGTAGATAGCCAAATGGAAGGCCACTCTATACCCAAGAGGGTAAGGCTCTCTGCCCCAGTCTAGAGCCATGGTTACTGCCAAAGGTCCACATGGTAAAGGCTTAGTCCCCAGAGTGGCACTCTTGGGGAGGTGGTGGAACTTTGACAAGATAGGCCTAGTGGGACACCCCAGGTCACTGGATCCTGAAAAGAATGTTGGACCCTGCCCCTTCCTCTTTCTCTCTCTCTCTCTCCTTCACTTCCTGGCTGTCACAAGGAAAGTTCTTCTTATTCTCACCATTGTGCGTTGCCCCATCAGAGGTCAAAGCAGCCAAAGTCAAGAGCCCGGATAAACCTTTCTATTACTCACCCTTCGGGTACTCTGTTAAAATCAGGCAAGGCTGACCAGCACCCTCATCCTTTCAGAGCGTCCAGCCTCAGGCTGGATCTCTGATCCGTGCTGGATGCTGCCTGGAGCACAGCTGGATGCTGCCTGGAGCACAGCTGGATGCTGCCTGGAGCACAGCTCACTCCCTTACTACAGTGCAGTCTCTGCAGAGCGCTGGGCTCACAGAGATTCCACCCCGAGTGTCAGCACTTTCTATGCTTGCATCTCATTTTACCTCCACAATGGCTGCACAAACTAGATATTTTTATCCCATTCTCGAGAGAAGGACTCTGACAGTCCAAGCATTTAGCTACGGCTCAACATGTATATACCTGATAGGTCATAAATACAGCATTTGAACCTTTGTGTGTTCCAACGTCCAGATAAACCTATTGAGTCAGGGTCTCCATCTCTGAAATGTCAGCAATGGCACTTTCAAGTTTCCACGGCGAGAGAATACTGATGTGCTCTAATACCTGAAACGTGGTGTAGGGTTGATTCCACGGATATGAATCTCCACAGTGGGCAGATTTACATAGGTATACAATATAGACATGGCTGCCATGGAATTGGGAGACTAGAGTGACTGCTAGCATGTGCAGATTTGAGGGGATGTGAGAAAACTGTTCTTAGCCATGTGGTGATGGCTACACAGCTTCAAATCTAGCAGAAGCCACGGAATAAACTGTACATCCCGACTATGCATATTTTTGACATATGAACTACATCTTAATAGACTTGACATTTTTCTAAGTCTGCAAGGGTATTGCCACTGCACACAGAGATTTAAGCACGACTTCATACTGGGGCAAAGGCTCTGAAAGAAGGCAGAGTCATCATGCGGCCACAGGAGACTCGACATCACTAGAACAAACGGTGGGTAACTTTGACAAAATCTGAGTCTGAGCTGAAATCAATAGAAAGCTTTGATGAGGGTGGCCCTGGAACCAAGCTCTATCCACAGCAGAGTGAATCAAAGTTAGTCGTCCGTGACCATCTGCTAACCACACACCCATGGAAGGACACAAGGGCAGAAAGTTTCCATCACAATGCGGCTAGGGGGCACGTGGAGCTCTGGGGTCACTGGACAGCACCGCCTATCCTTCACTGAGAACTTGTGCAAAGATTGACACACACTCGACTACCACAACTCTCTGCACAAACCCTGCTATGTGCAAATGAAGGTTACGCTTACTGACTTTCTTGAAGCTGATAAAGGGGTCTGTATCGAGGTTGCCAGATCTCATCCTTAATAAGGCCCTGAGAACTGAGGAGGACTCTCTAGCCTAAAGGATTCACCTTCACAACCAGTATATGGAGAATGGCTACCTGGATGTATCCCTTAAATGTCACATATATTTTTTTCTGTTTTAAAGACTCCTCTAACCTTTTTCCAGGAAGGAGGGAGTGTAGAGGAGGGAATAAGAAAGGAGACATATTTACTATTTCCTTTCTATCCAGGCAAAGCTTGAGGAAATGCTAACGAGTCATCAGTACCCTGCACCTTCTACAGAAAGTCTCTGACATGTAGACCACGCCCTTCCTCCACTCATCAGATAAACTCCCACCTGCTTATAATAGATTGAGTGTTTGTGTCCCCCAAATCTGTGTGTTGAAATCTAGTTCAAGTATGAGGGTATCAGGAAAATGGGACCTCTGGTAAGTAACTGGGTCACAAAGAGGACCCCTTTGTGAATGTAGCTGAACTGTTATAAAAGGTAATCCCAGGGAAATCCCCTACCACCTGGTGAAGTTACAGCCGGGACCCAGAGACAAGATATCACTAGACAAAGTCTGTACATCTTGGTCTTAGGTTTCCAGCACATCGAACTGTAAGAAATGTCTACTATCTATAAGCTACACAGTTTAAGGTCTTGTGTAACACTATTCTGGCAAACTCTGAAAAGACTATCCTTCAATAGGGGATGAGGGTTAAGTCAGATCAGAGAGAACAAATGGGTTTTATCTTGTATCATAATCCTAAACTATCAGTAGTGGATATCCATGGGCCATGCTAAGTGTCTGAAAGAAAATCATACAGTGATGGGGAGATGGGGGTAGCTGAGGAAGGTCTGGGTGAGGATGGGGAGTAGAATGGATTTAGCAGATGGGGACACACAACATAGTGTGGAGGATGAAGGAGACTTGTTATCTCCAAGTTCCACAATTTTAGACCAGGCACTCAAATGTGGAATATTCTGTTGTTGTTGTTGTTGTTGTTGTTGTTGTTGTTGTTGTTGTTTATGGATAAGTGGGAGATAGTTCCAGGTATGGTGAAGACAATCACAGAAAACAAAATGGTACATTTTTCTTTAAAACTCAAACACAGTTCCTGACAGATGCTCAGTAAATGCATCTCCTTTCTCATTTTCTCCCCTGAGTTTCCCCTTCCTTCTTAGAAAAAAGTAGAGGAGTCTTTAAATCAGAAAAAAAGGATGTGACAATTCAAAAGATACATCCAGCAGGCTGATCATTTCTCTGCAAGTGTTGATGTTGAATCCGTCAAATTTCATGTCTGTTCCTAAATATTTAAAAAGAAAAGAAGCTGGGAGTCAGGAGTGTTTAATAGACCAGGAAAATAAATAACCTAGACAGTCAGAGACCATCAAAGAGAGTACAGTTTCCATGGAAAAGGTGAGAGCACCTTGGGTGGCATGAGACAGACACCCCAGCCTTCTGGTACCCTGGGATATAGTACTGACCAGCCTTGGCACTGTGCTTCAAGCTGTGGACCTCAGATTTGGTACCCATGGATTTACATTTGTAAGAGTTGGTTTCCTGCATCATATGATGATGCTACTTGCCACCAGAATTGGTTGAGCATTGCAGTAAGGTAAGTGCTTTGTTACCAGGATATTGCTGTAAGCCCATCCTCTACTCCATCCTACCCTCCATCCTCGCCCCAGCCTCTCTGGGATCTCCCCATCACTATATGATCTATTCTTGGGAATAATTCCACTTGGCAGATGTTATCATCATCATCTTCATTTTGTAACCAGGGAAGCTGAAGCCCAGAGAGCTTATACAGTTTGCTCAAAACCATTGACCTGTAAGGGAACAGAGCTGGGATTTAAATATAGACCACCTGGCTCCATAGTCACGACACATACCGGCTCAATGAAGTAGCCGTTGTTAACTCACAGGCATCTCTCTGGGGCTGCAGACATCTCTGCTCTCTACTCTCGCCTGTTAAAAACCATGTAGCCCTCTACTCCACTCTGTTCCAAGCCACAGAAGGAGCAAAAGCAGAGCAGAGTGTTGAAGGGCAGAGCTCTAAGACCTAGGACACTGCCTATCTCTGTGCTAGCATGAGAGCCCATCACCCAACCAGCTGAAGGACTTAACCCTGGACATGCCTGGACCAGAACAGAAGGTGGCTGACTCCATGCTGGCTCCAATGGCACAGAGGCATGGAATGGCAGTGCAACTACCCTCCTTGGGAGACAGTTTGACACGTGGGAAGTCCCCAAGGCTTGCAGAAGTCTGAAGCTTTGAACAACTGAGTATTGGCAAGAACAGTCAGAATCACCCTCCTACCTGTATCCCCATCCCAAAGAAGCATGGTAGGGGATTTTTGGGCAGCATTAATTTTGTTGGAAAGGTGTCACATAAATCAAACACAGCCCAGCTTCTTTTCTCTCAGGACTTGCAAATAATTGCATTTGATATCAAGATTCTTGGTCCTGCAGGGTCTGGTTGCTTCCCAGTGTGACTCTCACTTCTCCCAGTGCCACCTCGTCCCAGCCTCTCCTATCTGCTACGTGCCACCTCGTTGCACAGATTTGGAATCTATAGGTCAGAGGCAGCCTGAACCCCTTCTCTCTTCCCTGGGATACTTCTGGCCAATCTCTGGCCTTCCCTCAGCCCCACCTGACACCTCTCTTGGATGCTGACAGACTTCCTGACTTCCTGATAGGCTCCAGGGGAGAACTCACGTTTAGAAAGCACTCCATTCAGTACCTTCTTGAGCTGATGAGCACTGATCTCAGAATCCTACAAAGAGCCCAAGTGTGAAATGTTTCAGACCCAATAAGCTGTTTCTTGGCATCCAATTAGAGCTCCCTCCCCACCAAGACTCCAGGTCCACCAGCCCCTTGATTCTTCAAAGCATATGTTGTCTTTAGAAACTCAACTTCTGTTTCCTCTGAGGGCAGGGTGCAGGAGGGTTAGTGGGGAAGAGGAGAGATGGATGGTACAGCTTGGCACCTAACTCCACAGAAGGCTGCCAGCCTCACCTGTGTTTTAGGGGCTTGCTTGGTTGGTTGGAGAACAGAGTGTGACAAGTAGTGACAGTGGGAACTTGCACTGATGTCCCACACACCCTACGTGCCGCATCGTTTAATCTTCAACAAAGCTGCATTCATACTACAGCTAAGGAGCTGTGATTGTAGAAATTGTCAGTCAACACACACACACACACACTGTCATGTATCATTGAACTATAATGACTTGGGGTTCACAGACACCACATGCCAGATTTCCCACATATGTGGGCTGCCATTGTGTGTAGGAACACATTTTAGGCTGGGATTCAGACTCAGGGACTGAAGCAGCCCATGTGTGTTTAATGTGAACTCTGAACCAGAGAGAAGATGCATGCTTTACCTCCCAGATGGAAGATGGGCCTCATGAAGGAAGAGGAACAAAGGGTGTGGTAGAAGCAATAGGCTGTGAACTGGGTTCCAGTCTGGACTCTGCCCACTGTCTGCACTGTGGCCTCCTATACTTCCCAGGACAGGCCCTAGCATTGGAAAGGTGAGACTAAAACTTCACAAAGCTGTGTCTTTGGATAGCCTCCTCAGGGCATAAGGTGGTCAGTTTTAGTGTAATACCAGGGACCTCTCTAGAAAGCCACTGGATAGAATGATTCAGCCATCTCCCAGTAAAGAAATGGGATGCTTAGAGTCCATACTGGACCTTGGCTGTAACCTCATGAGGCCTTGTGACCTTGGACTAGCTCCTCCTGAACCCTCTGTCACTTTTCTAGCAAGGGTGTGGATGGTGACATGTGTTCAGGCCCTTTCTCTATCGCAAGAGAGAAGAGACAAGCTTGGGAAGAAATTTACCTAAAACTCAGTGTTTCTTCTCTGGTGTTTTGAATGTACTAAATAAAACCTGCCCTCTGGGAGCTGAGGGAACAAGCCTCTGCAATACTGGCCTGAGCAACTGGGTAAAGCAAACTGATGTATCCTATGCTTGTAGGTTTGCTTTGCTTTGTTACAAAGGTTTTTCTTCTGGTATAATTTATGTTTTTCCATTATTCCCCCCAAACCCCCCTCTCTCTGACAGAGGATTCACCATATATTCTAGGCTATCTTCGAACTCCCAGATCATGCAATCTTCCAGCCTCGGCCTCCCAATTTCTTGGGATGACAGACCACTGTGCTAGGCTTCCGTTCCATTCTTAAGTCCAGAAAGTTTGTTGGTGTTTCAATGGGATAGCATGCGCCGGTGAGGAAGAAAGTGTTTCTCGGGATCTTTTTAGCACTTCATGGCCCATCAAGGGTCCTCAATCACTATGGGGCCAATAAGGACACACTGGATCCTGGGTGGGCTCAGACTTATGACAAGGACTATAAGACCAGGACAAAGTGAGCCCTGGACAGCTGAGCAGAGGGAGAAGAATGGGAAACAGCTGTGCATACCCTGAGCACAGTCACAGTCATACACACACCCAAACAGGCTCAGATTCCACACGGCAAGCACTGCAGGTCTCCCAAGTCAGTGGGCCCGGCTGTGTCTGTAATCCCAGGGCAGGTTAACTGAGTGACCTCCTGCTGCTGCTGGTCAATTCCCCCTCTAAAGGCTATTGATTTAGAGAGGTCACACTGCCCTGGCTTTCTACTCAGAGGCACCGTCTGAAGGGACCAATTTACAAACTGAAAGGCTTTTGACAAGACCCAGAGATTGGGCACTTCCATTTTCTCAAGTCAGTCAACACAGGAAGAAAAGTGGCCTCTGGACAATAGTTATTCTCTCCCTCCCAGAAACACAGGGAAAGTCTGCTGGCATCAGGCTGTCCGTCCTGTACTCCTGTAGACCCAAGGGAGTGCAGACAAGCATGACCTGAGCCTTCCACTGCCCAGCTGAGAGGCACCTGCCCTCTACTCACCTTGTCCACAAAATCCTCAAACAGGCTCCAGAAATGCTCATCTTTGACATCCATGTCACAGGGATGTGGCTGAAAGGGAGGGTATTGATGAAGTTAAAGCAGGAACTGTGGCATGAGCTATGGAGAATCCCATTTGTATCTATGGTGAGCCTGTCTGTACTGGGCCAGGCTTTGGGTTAAGTAGGAACATGTGGGGTTATGAAAAATGTCCCTCATAGTCTCAGGCACTTGAACTCTTGTTTCCTAGTTGATGGCGCTAACTGGGGAGGCTTAGGAGGTGTGGCCTTGATGGAGGGAGGATGTCACTGGAGGTAGACTTTGATATTAAAACCCTCACACCACGTGTGCTTCGATCTCTCTGCTTTGATGTGCATTTAAGGACGCCAGCTCTCAGCTTCCTGCCCTTGCTGCCATGCCTGTTATTTGATGTCATGCCTCCCTACCTTGATGGACTGTATCCTCTGGAACCACGAGCAAAAGTAAATCACTTACAAGTTGCCTTGGTTTCAGTGTCTTAGCATAGTGGCAGAAAAGCAACCAATACAGGAGGAGCCACGCAGAGGATCCGGCAGGGTGCCATACCAGGTCCAGAGCTCCTCTCTGAGTCCTACAACCCCAATGTCTTCTTTTAAGACTTATTTTAATGTTATCTATCTATATGTGTGGAGGAATATGTGCATATGAGTGCAGGTGTCCATAGAGGCCAGAGGTATTGGCTACCCAGGAGCTGGAATTACAGGCTGTTATGATCTATCCTACCTAGGTGCTGGGAACCACATCTGGGTCCTCTGCAAGAGCGATATACACTCTCAGCTGATGAAGCATCATCTCTCCATGCCCCTGAGCCTTAAATGATTTGTTTCAACCCTGAATCACTTTCAGAGAACAATAAGACAGACACAGGGAAAACTCAGTGTGAGTATGGAGGATATCCTAGGACTTTCCCAGCAAACGCATAGGAATCAGAAGTTCAGAAATCATATGAAAAAATGTTTGGCTGTTTATATGTGCTTTCCTAGCTCTCATAGAGGGGGTGGGGGTGGGGAGAGAGAGACAGAGAGAGAGAGAGACAGACAGAGACGAAGACAGAGAGGGAGACAGAGGGAGACAGAGACAGACAGAGACAGAGAAAGAAAGAGGGAGGAGGGGGCTACAGAAGGGGAAGGAGAGGGATAGGGAGAAAGAAAGGGAGAGAGAGGGAAGGAGGGAGGAAGGAGAGAGAGAGGAGGGAGGTTGAGGGGCAGAGCCTAGCAGATTATAACGGGACTGGAACTGAACTCCTGCTTGGCTGCTCACTGGAGCCTGTCTGCACGCTGGGCATCCACTTTCTAATGCTAATATTAAACTACCTCAGGCTGTTTCATGGGTCATTTTTAAATCAGACGAAAGCTAATGTATGCCAGTCCTTCAAAAATTACAAACCATTCAATGAACACCTCTGACCAAATACATTCAAAATGGTCTCGCGCTGTCATCGAAAGGAAGAATGAAAAAGAGAAAGCTTCCCAGCTAGCCTAAAGAGTTTCCAGGAAGCAAAGCCATTCCTAAGATGAGTACACAAAGCCCAGGATAGCCTAATGTTGCTGTAATTGTAAGTTACAGTCGTAGGAATGGTATTCTTCTTACTTACTGCCTGGAGGCATATTAAATAAATTACCTCACTTAGTGGGACCATGCTGTGAGGTCGTCTCATTACTTTACTATTCACAAATGGGGAAAAAGAGAATTAAGTCACATCATGGAAAGAGGGGACCAGAAAGATAGTAAGAGCCAGAGGTGAGGGAGGATTATCGAAAAGTGGTGTCTTCTAGAGGGAGGTGAAGGAGAATTACCGAAAAGTGGTTTCTTCTAGATGCGAGAAGACGGATACATCCACAAACTCACAGTACCTATACTGTAGTTACCTATACAAACCTGCACAAGATGGAGCCTGTCAGCTTGCCAGCGAGTGTAGGTGAGAGAAGTGTGAGACCTGTCCCTGACTGAGGAGGAGCAGGTGATGGTTGCTGATTCGGGGGAGGGGCGATTTTCTTCCTCTGTGTAGCCATGGTAGATTGCTCATGCTTTAATGAATGGCCCTGTTCCCATCTTGTATGGGCAGCACTGATTGTATTCAGTGGGTTATGAAGGTGGGGGAGGAGAAGAAGGAGGAGGAGAAAGGAAGAGAAGGAGGAAGAGGAGGAAAAAGAAATTAAGGCCGGGAGGTGGTGGTGCACGCCTTTAATCCCAGCACTTGGGAGGCAGAGGCAGGCAGATTTCTGAGTTCGAGGCCAGCCTGGTCTACAGAGTAAGTTCCAGGACAGCCAAGGCTATACAGAAAAACCCTGTCTTGAAAAACAAAACAAAAAAAAAAGAAAAAGAAAAGAAATTGAGATGAAGTTGGGGGAGGTTGGAGAGGAGGAATAGATGGGGATATAATCTAAATATGCTAAAAATACAGAATCAACACACACACAGAGTGTCAGGCCAAGCCCGCATCGCTAACAAGTGATGGAATCAAGATTCAAACCCCTCTCTGGCCTTCTCTACCATCCTATGTGTGATGACCAGAGATTGTCGAAAGAATGAACAGCCCACGACTTGTACACTCGTCTTGGAAGGCAGGAGACTTCCTGTCTCCTACATCCTATTCTCTCAGCCTCCAGGGCTGTTTACCCACCTCTTCCAGGGGCTACTGACTCATATCAGCACACACAAAATGCATAAACCCAAAACCATGCATGTGATCTTTACAAGAAAAACAGTAATGCATGTCACCCGTATGATTTAAAGGCTTTTTCAGGAGTGAAAAATGTTATGTTGTTCACATGATGCACTGTAAAATCTAGTGGTGAACCCATGGATTCAAAATAGGGAACACTGTTCTATTATTCTGGGGAGAAAAGGTATGAAGCTGCATTTTAAATGGAGAGATCAAAGGCCACCTGTGCTATATAGCAATCCAGGGTATGCATCCAGACAAATGCTGTCTGCAGCAGGCAGTTTACCAACGGGGAGGAGCCGTGCCACTGGATGTGGGAACTTTGGTACATAAGAAATGGGAAGGATCTACAATGACAAAGTACCTCAGATTTGTTCATTCACTCACCTGGTGCAAATTGGAGACTGCCCTGGGTCTATCAATAAATACAGTGGTGAACAAGATCTGCCCTTCTCTCAAACAACATGTTTCTGGAGGAGTGTCTACAGCCCCGGGAGAAACACTTGGCAATAAGGTGGCAGCCAGCCAAAGGCAAGGATGGAGTCTCCTGTTACTAAATTGGGTGCTGATGTCATCTTAGCAGCCCTGATCAAAGGCACACATCTGAGTTCTGAGAGTGGCCGGTTCATAGTGTACCTCCTTCACTCCAAGCAAGGCAGTCAGGCCCTTTGAATATCTAGATGCCGGTAACTTGGAGGTGAAGATGCAGGAATTCTGGAAGGCCAAGGCTGTATCTTCCTATCTTCTGTTAAGTCCTGAGTTCAACCAGATACTACCACTGTAGTGTGTGTGTTGTGCATGCATGGGTATTGTGTGGGTATGTGCTGCGTATGTGTGTGGTATGTACAAATGCATATGAGTAGTGTGTGTGGCATAAGTCTGGTTTATGTGTGCATTATACATGCAGGGTATGTGTAGTTCTGTGATAGAGTATACAGCACATGTCCATGGTATGTATATGGAAGTGTGTAGTCTGTATTGTGGGTATGTGTGAGTAGTATATATGTGTGACATATTTTATGATCTGCATGTGGTAAATAGTATGCCTTTTGTGATATGTGTAGGATAGGTATATAGTATCCATGTATGGTGTATGTATGTGGTGGTTATGTGGTGTGTGTAGTATATAGTAAGCATGTGTGATGTATGTGGTGTGTTTTGTGGTGGTATAGTATGCATGTGTGGTATGTTTTATGGTAGGGACCTGGTGAAGTATGGTGAATGTGTATGCCCGCGTACACACGTGTGTATAAAGTTTGGTGTGTACAGTGTGTGGTATGTATATGTTGTGACAGAAGTAGTCACAGTGAGAAACAAAGTCAGAGCTTCTGTGAATCCGAATATTCTGAAGTCCTAGGCCTTAGAATCCCAGACTCCCAGATGGTTCCATTGCCACACCCTGGAGACTGCGGAAGGCTCTCTGCCTGAAGGCTAGCATGTTACGAAGCTACAGGCCAAATGAACTGTAATCAAGGAAGGAGGGTATAATCTGATCACAGACTGCCAAGGCAGACCCACGGCCAGAAGAGACTCCGTGTTACTCTGGGGCTTTGGAAAACCCTAAGACCATGGGAGATGGAGACAGGGAGCCCCTGTGATGACCAGGATTTAACTTCTGCCAGCTTGGTTCAGTAGGGGTGTGAGTTTGATTTAGCAGAAATCAAACGAGACTTGTAATGCAGCAGAGTCCACACCAACACACTATGGCTCCTCCAGCATTCCTGTGCCCCAGTGAGGACAATAAGACTCTTGGGAGTAACGAGGCTGAGCTACCATCTGCAACTAGAGCTCAGTCACCAAGAGCACAGCCCAGAAAAGGCTGATGCTGCAGAGAGGTGGGTACCAAGAGAGCTACAGGCCCTGGGCGCAGTCACACTGAATAGAGACTAACTAGTAAGATTAAACAGATGATGGGCATTTCCTGCCAGACAAACTCATCCCCAGCCCCAAGCATATAAATCCTCAGGTGCCACGTTCCTATTCAACTGTAGAGACACGAACTTACACATTTGATTATTTCCAATAACAGAGCATGTCTGTCCCAGCGCTGCTCACCAGGATGACTCAGCCACTAGAGGGCGCTTTGAGCAGCAGCTACATACAGATGCTCAGTCCATTTGGGTGGACAGCAGAGTGTACCTGGATTTGTGTCATGTGAAGACATTCTCCACCCCTGGGTCCTGTCCCATGGAACAGAAAGACACCACACACACACACACACACACACACACACACACACACACACACACAACATACCCACACACACATGCATGCGCACATTCATGGACACCATGTGGGAAGGACAAAAAATTGAACTCATACTTCAAACCCTGCACATTTCTCTGTGTATATGCATACACACATGTGCATGTTCATGAGTATGAGTGCATATGGAGGGTACATGTATACATGTGTGATGTATGATGTGGTGTGTGTGTGTGTGTGTGTCTGTGTGTGTAGACTAGTGGACAGCCTCTGGTATCATTCCTTAGACACTATAGTACAATGTCCCACAGAAATAAAATGCTACCATTTTTAATATATAAAGAACTCTGTCAAATCAACAAGAAACTTAAATGTCTGCTATGCAGTAGTGTACGAGTTTGGCACAATAAGATGGCATACCTCATGTGGGTTTCCAGCTACAGTGTCCCCGATTTCCCTGAAATCCAGACAGAAATGAGTTAAACATGAAAAAGAAAGTTCAGATACTGGTTGGATCCTTTCAGGGAGAATTTCTTCTTATGGGGGGTTGATTTCACAATCACGATTCTCAGTTTCTGTTTTTTAGAACACTGCGTGGCTGAATCCCTAAAAGAAATCCTTCCCTTTTACTGCCCCAACCCACAACCCACCCTGAAGTTTCATGAGACAAGGGGCTCACTGGTCTCCCATGGATTCTACAATACTGAACGTACTGAGCTGTGTCCCCGTTTACCCCAGTGACTATTCTTCTCTCTTCTGAAAAGTTCACTGCTGAAGGCTCTGCTGGCCTCATGGAAACCTGAAGTCAGAGGGCTGGGTACACAGCACGGGATATGCAGTATGTGTGTGCTGTGTGCTCAGGATCTGTGGCATGTATGTGTGGATGGTGTACATGGTATGTGGGACATGGGATATGTATATAGTTTCTATGCATCTACGTGAATATACGTCTCTGTGTGCGACGTATAGTGATTAAGCATAGCATATTTAAGTTATGTATTAGTGGTATGTGTGCATAGTGTGGTATGTGATATCGAAATGTATGGTGTGTGTTATGTATGTATATAATGTATGGCATATGTGTATGTCATATGTTGTGTGTATAAGATGTGATATATAATATATACCTATGTGGTTTGTGTGTTGCATGCTTATGTTATATATTTGATGCATGTATTGTGTGTGTACATAATATACGTGGTACACGGGGCTGGTAAGATAGCTCAGCGGTTAAGAACACTGACTGCTCTTCCAGAGGTCATGAGTTCAAATCCCAGCAACCACATGGTGGCTCACAACCATCTGTAATGATATATGATGCCCTCTTGTGGGGTGTCTGAAGACAGCTACAGTGTATTTACATATAATAAATAAAAGTTAAAAAAATACATGGTATGCATGCTGTACATATGTATATGTTTATAGCACATACATGGTATGTATACATATATAACGTAGGATGTGTTTGGTGGTACACATTTAGCACATATGTCATATATATGTCTAGTGTATATGACACACACATATATAGTATGTAGGTTATGTGTACTGTATAGAATTGATGTGTATGGTATGTGTACAAAGTATGTGTGTACTGTGTGCACAGCCGTAGCCCAGATCCCATCAGCCTCTGCTAGATGGTAGAACAGCTGGTCAGCAGGATGCTGGTGGTGCCCTTTCTCTTCTTCACTTTCTGAATGAGGAAATTCCCAGTCCTGTAGAGCAAAGTGGAGGCAGCAGGGGGCCCACCTGGGGAAGGTCCCAGGAAGTGCTATGCTTTTCAAACTTCCTTTAGAAGCATCAACAAAGATCCTGGGGCAGGTCATTTAGCAATGAGTTCCTCCCAATGCTGCACTGGGCCCTAACTCAGAAAACACCCTCCCCACCCCGTGTGCTCGACAAAGTAGACGCACAAAGCCTTGGCCTTCTTCTCTGAGAACACCCTCAAGCAGAAGTCACCATCTTTGAAGGGCTCGAAGGTGGATGGCACCACCAGGTACTGTCCTGGGGGAAGTCGGACCCTGCTGGACACCTCCCGAAGGTTCATGTAGGTGCTGGAGCAGGTTGAGGGCTGGCGGCCCAGGAAGAAGTCCCGGCCCAGGTGTGTGTTCGTGTGATTCTCCAGCTGCACAAAGCAATGGGCAGAGTCAGTTCCTTCTCGGAGTTCAACTCCACCCTGTCAAGTTAGGGATTGTCTGCTGTACCTAATGTGTAAGCATCAGGAGGCTTTTGGTTCAGTCATGAGCTAGCTCACTGTGTCTCAACCATCCAGTGGACTTGCGGTGTCTGCTGGCTGCCAAGCCCGATGAGGCTGTGGCCTTAGCTGTATGACTTGAGCCAGTCTTTCAACCATCTAAGGCCTCCCTTTAAGTGAAGAGTGGAACTCTGGGTGTCTAGTGTGGGCTTTGTATATTTCTCCTCATGATTCCAGCAGCAAGCATCTGCAGCTGTCTCTACAAGAACAGCATGGAATCTCAGTCCAGCTGGTCCTTAAACAAAGGGCACCATGAAGTGACGAAAGTGACCAGACTCTGAAGAAGACAGAGGAGACAGCTATCCAGGCCTGATTCTGGGTCCCTCCTAGCCTCCTGGGGGTCAGGACTCTTCTACAGACAGAATAAGACACTCCCATGGATTTTGTTGTGAGGAGTGGGGAGGCTGCTTCTGTGCGACAGAGGCTAATTACTGACTGCGGAGTGCTCTAAAAACACAGGTGCCAGTGTTGTTAGCGATATAATTATCCTCCCCAGGGCCCTCTAGCCTTACAATCAATCTTTTTATGATGCCCATGACAGAGGCAGGTGAAGGCAAGCTGCAAGAGCTGAAACACACACCCACCCACACACACACACACACACAGTAGTCAGTGTCCATGCATGCTCACCAGACCCTCCCCAGATCTCAGTTCTGATGATCAGGGGAGAAAAAAAGGCCCACCTGTCCCTCTGTCATTGCCCTGGCTGGGACTCCTCAGGGATCCTCTCAGGTGACAACTAGGCCAGCCACGGTGCTGGGATTCCCTCTGAAAATGTTTACACCCTAGACACAAGAGTGCTGGGACCATACCAGCAGAGCCACAGCCAACATCTGAGTGTAACAAGCTTAATGGCATTCTTGTTATCTCTGATGGAGATGAAGGAGGAAAGAGTCCGAAGAAAGAAGGAGCTGTCCGTGCAGATAGGCAGCTGACTATAACCTGGGCTTGGCTAGGAAAGGCAAATGGAGTTTTGGGAAGAATCCAAGGGTGGAACCAAAGAATCCTTGTTTAGGAGACCAGAGTGGGACCTGGAGCCACTGAGGCAAGAGCCTGGTTTCTTTTGTGCTACTGGAGACCCCATCCAGTTAGGTGTCAAGGGTCTCTGGCCTTCACATCACCCCTTGATGTGACTCAGCCAGCAATGGCAGTATGGGCGTCAAGCAGGTTCAACTGAGGATGAATCTCAAAGTGTGAGAGTAAGGTCAGTAGATGAATCCTGCAGAGTGGGGCGTGTGCAACTCATTAGGGCCACCCCGGACCCAGAGCCTGATGTTATAGATGTGAGGCCAGATGGTCAGTGCTTTAACAATCCCTCCGGGGACTCTGAGATAAGTTCAAGCTTTATCAGAAGACTCCATGACACTTGCAGATCACACCAAGGGCACTGTTGATGCCCCTGGGAAAGTTCTACATGCACACATAGGACCCCATACCCATATTGATGGAGCAAATCTGATGGGAATCATGGTTAAGTATACTTAACTCAGGTTTGATTTCCATTGTTTTCTAGTAGTTAAAGTGATGCACCAGACCACCCACCCTGGCTGTCTCCTCCATGATAAATGGCGTGCATCTGTGATCCAAGGGCAGGACAGACCTGTAGTCTGCAATCTGGGAACACAGCCTGGGCCCAAGAGTATGAAACTGGGCCTTGTTGGTCTACCTACTCTCCTGGTCATGCTGAGAACCTGGGAGAGGAGAGGAGGCTGCTAATGGCACACACCAGTGCATAATTAATGCAATTAATCCAGATCAAAGCCCAACCATGGCTCACTTGGGAGTCAAGTTTATAAACTTGCAATGCCTGTACTTTCCTGACCCAGAGATGCTGCTATGATTTTCTGGAATGTCGTCTGTACACTAAGACTTTTAAGAGTCCCTAGGCTGCAGCTGAGATGATCTTGGGCCAGCACACTCTGGGTTGGGATCTTGCTTTGTGCTGTCTGTACCATCTTGTGGGGCCATGCCCCACAGGAATGTTTCCAGGTTCCTACCTTCTGAGATGGGTGGTCCAAGGTGAACAAGACCCAGAAGGTCAGAGGAGATCTCAAACCGTAAAGACGATATTGATAGGACTCCCTAAGCTATCTGTGAGTCACTGAGGACCATGGAACAAGCCAGAGCAGAGAGGGTGAACTTGGCACTTCCCTTTCTAGTTAGACATCAGGGCATCGTTTCTATTGGCCAGACAAGAAGGATCCCACAGTATGCTGTAATCACCTTATTCAGACCAAGCCACCATGCACACAGGGGCAAGGATCACCCTTGCACTCTTCCCAAAGGGCCTAGCAGGACTTCAGCTTGTTTTCACCAGCTCTCATGGCTACCAGACCTCATGGCTCACCAGACCCTGAGAATATTCACAAGAGAGCCTGTTTCCATGGCAGAGAGGAGCCAAAGGCAGGGATGCTCTTTCTTACCAAATGAATTCCACCTCTGTCCAGGCAATACTCACGTACCTCCTTAGGAATCTGCATGGCAAAAAAAAACAAAACAAAAATAAAAATAAAAACAACAACAAAAACAAAAACAAACAAGAACAGGTCGCCTGAGAGCTCAAGCCCCCCCCCCCCCGCCTTGTGCATCGCCCCCTACATCTTTCAGACAGACCAAACACAGGGAGGGAGTTCCTGCTGAAATGAAGGGTGGCGAGCATTTGTGAACTGGGAAGTGATTGGTGGATTCGAAGCTGTACGCAGACTGCTGAGTCCTGGAAACCTGGGGCTGGGTTTGACCTTTGACTTTGTTTACTAATTGTGTAATCTACCAGGATCTCCCAAATGTTTCAAAAGTAATAACATTTGAGCTTAAATTGGATTCAAAGTAGTCCAAGAGACTTTCTATCCTTGCCTGCCAGATCAAGGAAGTTAGCGGGAAAGAAAATTCCACTCAACTTGAAGTCGTAAATGATCCTGTCTTTGGCCATAGCAACCCAAACTGGCCCTATAGTAGGCTCCTCCAGGATTTTTAAATTGGAACTAAGAAGCCCCTTCCTTTATGTTAGTGACATTGAGCAGTGCAGAAAGCTAGACAGGAGGATGGTGCTAGCGTTAGAGGAAGGGATGCGGAGACAAAGCATCCCCGTAGCCTCTGACTCCCTCATCCTCTGACTTATCCAAGCATCCTCTCTGACCTTTGCTTTGCCTACGTGAGATGCTGAATTCTTTCTCACTAACTAGCTCAGCTGCAGCTCTGGGGGAAACCAAAGACATCAACTATGGAGATGAGCTCTCAGACCCAGAGAGGGAACCCTGCTATGCCCAGTGTTCCTGTGCCAGGCTAGAAAAGAGGACCCCAATCCTCCTGTGTCCACCTTCTGCTGCTGCTGCTGCTGCTGCTGCTGCTGCTGCTGCTGCTCCTGCTGCTGCTGCTGCTACACAGGCTGTTTGAACCAAAAGAGCACACTGGTGCCTTGGGCCTGTTCTGCAACTGCCTTCCACTCTGAGGGAAAGTGAGAACTATCTGGCAGCCTCTCAGCAGAACTGCAGTGGTCAGGGGACACTGGCACTCCTCTAGTTTAAAGTTTAAAACACAATCAGCTGCACCGAGGCCTCGCTAACCCTGCTAGGAACTTTCCTAATTCCCTTGGCCAGCTTTCCCTCAACAACCTAGATGCTTCTGGCAATAAGCTTTGAGTCCACCTGGCCCTGAGTCTCCCAGCCAGATAGGAACACCCATTGCCCACACAGAGAGCAGCCATCTGTGAAATGCAAGATCTTGACTGGGTGGTGGGAGAAGGGCTCTTTATCCTTCAGGGCTGCCTGGCAGCTTCTCAACTGGCTACAGGTTTTCAACTTCAGGCTAGAGTCCAGTTTCAGGCAGTGACAGCCATTTAAACAGTAACACAGGGGTGAGAATGTGATATTCCTAGCTAGCCAAGCTCCTCCACACATCCAAGCTGCTCTCTGTAGCCCAGCTACTCCCTATACCCCAGATGTTCCCCTCATGTAAGCTGCTCCCCTCACCTAGGCTGCTCCCTACATTCATCTCCTAGTTTGATTTAAAACCCAGTCTGCCCATAGATTCTAAGCTCTAAATTATATGCCTCCAGTGACAAGAAGTGAGGCAACAGATCACATACCCTGGAGTATCTTATAAGCAGCTATAATTTGATACATGAAACTGATATGCTGTGTGTATTACTTATTGATGCAAATGCCACACCACACGCAGCTATTGAGAAAGATGGCTTTGTTGCTCTGGCACAATGAGAGGGGCCTGAAGGATAAAGCACTGGCCACCATCCCTGAGTGGCTCACCCTGTAACCGCTCCAGCCAGCTGTCAGGTCTCTAGCACTGTCACTAAGTTTTAAGCTATCAGGGAGCACATGGCATCCCTTTAGGCTAGAATGTTCTCTCTTCTCCACCTTTGAATCTTTTAAAGACCTGATCAAAGTCTCCTCAGCATGAAGCTGAGGAGCCCAGACTGTTGTGGTGGAAACCACCAACACGGATGCCTCCTGCCTGTTGTCAGCTGAGTGCATTGGGTTTCTCATTCCAGATTGTGAGCACCCTGAGGACAGGAACTGTGAGTGGTGTGCAGTCCCTCAGGGTCCGAGCTTCTAACTCTGCACATGGCACAGAGTAGGTGCTCAGGCAAGTCTGCCATACTGGGGTGCATCCAAGATGAGATGGATGGATGTGGACTGAGCTGTTATCTCTGTGAGCACTGAGGATGGGGTCGCAGTATCTATGTCTAGACAGGGCTAGAAGAGCTGAGAGAAAAGGGGTTTGGCTACTTTCAATTCTTTTCTCTTGCAATTAAGGAGCAATTCTTTTCCAACCCATGGCAAGGGTGAGAGCACCCACACCTGAAACCCTGTTGGGAGCCGACTCCTAACAGAAAGCGGCTATCATCTTTGCAGCCATCTCGAGCCATATACCCTGAAAAGACACTTGTTTTCAACAGCCCGCAACAGCTGAGCACACTCTGATAAACATCTTGTTTTTCTCACATATCTTGTTTTGTTGTTTAGTGCCCCCAACTATAAAACACATGTGGTAGCCACGCTGCAAGGCACGTGACATAGTGCCTTCAGCTGTGTTCCCCTGCTTGTCCACAAGGACAAGACACGTGGTAAAGCGTATAAATACCCAAGATTTTTCCTTTCACTAAAGAGGGAGACTTGATCATACCCTCTGTCTTGTCTCCAGTCTTCACATCTCTTGCCCCTCCATCCCCACTCTCTCTCTTTCTAGACCCTGACCCACAGACCAGAACAACAGCTCAAGCCAGGACAAAGTGACCCCCGAACGTACAACAGAACGGGTCAGGACAGAACCCTAAGCTTAGGAATCGGATCAGTGGCACTGGAGGCTGATGGTATGAACTTGGCAACTGAATTTTTTTTCTTGTTATAAATTTTATTACAATATTTTATATTACAAATGCTTATTTTATGTGCATTAATTTATACTAAGACATTGAGCCTCCCAGCTGCTCTGGGTTTTCTAATTAGAACTGCTTTTTTTGTTGTTGTTTTTTTTAACCAAGAAATTCATTTATAATAAAACCATACCAAACAAACAAGAGTCCCCATAGGATGCTTTATATGGAGTCTTTGCCTGGGTTAAGGCATAGACTACAGCGTGGTCTTAGCTGGAATGTCAAGACCTGAAGCCTTGATTTACCGTATCAGGGAGACAAAGTCCACAGAGGGGTAGTCACTGGAAAAGCCTGGTATCCTGAAAGAGAGTCCGAAGCCTGAGACAAGAGCCAGCTGTGTTCCTCAATCCAGAGACCCTGGGACCAAAAGGGCTAGGTGTGTCTCTTACCTAAGCTGGTGGCTATGAGTTCCTAGTGACTTCCTATGGTAGGAAGAAGGAACTTTATACATTTGGTTTCTTTATCCAGCCATCTTTCCCTACTCTGGAATGTGTATTATTGCTCAGATGTCTTTCGCCTTCATGTTCTGAGCTCCTGTGCCCTGAGACACCTCTTCTCGGATAAGAGTCTAATATGCACATTTACACTGAGTTCTCACTGATCAGCACTGTGTAGTGAATTGTGTATCTCAGTGTTAACAGACAAAATTCTAGCCACAGGGATGAATAACTATAAAACTCAAGCCTCAGTAAGAGTTTCAGAAATATAAGGAAGCAAAGACAACACCTTATTGAAAGAATTTGAACAATGAGAAAGATGTACTCCAGTTACTGACCAGAATATCCCCATCAAAGACATCAGTATACTGTGACAGAGAAACTTGACTTAGCGATACCTGGTAGACAGCATAGCCTATGCTGAGCATGCCCTGGCCAATTCTCTTCTGACGTCTGCGATTCTTCTGCATCAGACCCAGCAACACAGTACAGCAGGGATTACTGGTGCCCTCCTCCTGGTCCTCATCCACTTCATCCAAATGGATTTTAAACTGGGGATTGGTCCAGTAAGTGGCTGGAAGTTGTGCAGTGATGGTGGTCCAACAGGGGTGAGAAAAAAAAAGAGGCAAGAACCTCTATCATCCCAGTGAAAGAATAACACTGGCCAGACTGCCTGGCATAACTGGAAATCCATCCTCCCACCTCCCTGACACATCCCACAGGTAGACACTTAGAACATCTGTCTTATCAGCTAAATCAGCCTACTGGATTGGATACTAGCCCAGAACCATCTGAGTGGCCAGTATCTTGAGCTGCTCTGGACTGTACCGGGAAGCAATATCTTGCCTTCCTGGAAGTCTTTCATTTCTTCCTGTTCTTACCTAAAGACTCCACCTGGAAGGAGCTGGTGGATGAGGAAGAACCAAAGAAGCCTCTGCCTGATAGTTTGAAAGCCTTCTCGCCATCATGTGCTCCACCAAGCTCAGGAGAAGCTCCTGCTTTGGTTTCAACCCATGAGACCCTGAGACCTACCCTCTGCCCCTTTGCTCAAGAACCCTCCCAAGGTGTTCAGTCTTGCAGCCTGCTGATGAGACACACGCCCTTCCAAACAAGCCATTTAATAATGTAAGAGAAAACACAGTGTCATTAAGTATGCCTGACTCACCACCTATAGATACCTAAAAAGATGCCTTCTAGAGGTAGGGACATGGCTCAGCGGCTAAGGGGGCTGGCTGTGCAAACAAGAGGACCTGAGTTGAGATCCTAGCACCATGCCAAATGCTGTGGCTATGACTGACTGTAAACCCAGTGTTGTTGGGGAATAGAAACAAGGATTGCTGACCCTGCTGGGATAGCTCCAGGTTCAGTGAAAAACCCTGTCTCAAAGGCGTAAGGGACAAAGGGTGATAGAACAGGGTGCAGATTGAACTGGGAAGACACCTGACATCTTCTGCAAGTGTACACACACAGAGATGTACAAGCCAACACCCCATGCACACACATGATGCCTTTATTCAGAGACAGTTTTTGGAAAAGTTCACTCAACTTAGTATCTACCCAAGCTAGGCATGGAGAAATCTAAGTGATCAGCCATAGACACACAACAGTTCTATGGTGGAGTTGAATTCAGAGTATAACTGAAGAAGACAGGCCTGGTGCATCTCACCATGCTTGGTGTTCAATTGCAACAGAGAGTTGGGGAGGACTGCTTGTTTTAGGATGAGGAGGGATTGTGGGTGTTTTTACAATCTCTATACAGTGGTACAACACTATAAAACACCATAGCAGTCTCATATGGCCAACGCACATTCTTTATTTTTTTCCCCTAACAGCGAGAGTACTTATTCAGCTCCTCCTTCCCAGAACCTCCATTTCTAGGTATTTCTTTTTTCACTCAAGGCTCAGGTGTACATAGATTTTAAGATCAGGTGTCTGTGGATTCCAGGGGAGACAGAAAATTCAGTAATCTTCTGTACTTACCTCATTACCACGAGGCAAGAACAATCCATTTCTTCCTGACAGCTAGCTGTCAGCACAGATGGGATTATGATTTGGTGTGTGCAGATGCCTTGGGAACCCCCTATGGTTCTGAGCTTCCAGAATGATCCATGCAAGTTTCCTATGTCTTTCCTAAGAGCTTGTTAATGGTGAGCATATTTTAATTTCTCCCAAATGTAGCATTACCACAATCCTTACATTTTTTTGTTTACTCCTTAACAGTACTATAGGAAGAGAATGGGCCATAAAAATAATACATGCCGTTTGTTTAACACCGCAGTTTACAAAGCGCCTCCCCGTGAGCTCTGTGTTACAATGCTCACTGGGCCCCACCGAGTCGGAAGGGAGGAATTGAAGTCTGAGAAACTGAAGCTCCAGGAAAGGAGCGCCCCTCAGGTCTCACAATCGTCAAGTTGACTAATGGGGGCAGGCCTGACAACAGCTGGTCTTTGCAACTGGATGGAGATGGATGGGAATGGAGATAGGACCTTGTGCTCCCAGTTTGTACCCACATGGGGTTTTACAATGCTGCCGTTTCTACAAGCAGTGCTCTGACTGAGGGGAGCTACTCTTTGCCCCGCCCAGAGTCACCAAGTCAATCAACACAAATCAACACAGCAACAGCAAGCCAAAGAAGCATGAAGGTGGGAAATAGCAAGCGGGGATGTGTGTTTTTCTTTCTTTTCTTTCTCCAGAGAGCTGTAGGGTCGTTTCTCAGTTGTTTCCTCAGCTGCTGCCTCAGTGGACTCGACCTAGGAGGAGCCTACACAGTACATGTTAGTCATCTTGCAGGAACCAGGGAGACCATTCACTCTCACCTTTGGTAAGATGAGGAACCAGAGTTAAGTCAGAGGTTTGACTAGGACATCCCCACCAGGGATAGATCCCTGGTGACCCCCACAGAATGGAATAAGACCCATACATAACCCATGGATGTCCATTCCTGACCCCCACAGCCTTAACCCTTCTGTTCTAACTCAGGCAGCACAAAGCTGAATGGCTGCCCTTCTGAAAGCAGCCCACACAAGCAGTAGATTGCCTTCTGACAGCACTAACTACTCTGCCCCACAGCTCAGTGGGGTAGTGTCAGCCAGCTGGACCAGGGAGGGAAGGCAGAAGTCCAAGAAAAGAGCAGGAGGCCTTAGCGATGGTCCAGGAGAGGTGACCCAAAAGCAGCAAGCTGGGAGAACAGAGAGGACGAAGGAAAAATGATCTAAACACAGAGGAGCTGAGGTGAGGCCTTAGATAGGCAGCTGCAAAGCCACTGTCCACCCGTGCCTGCCTGGCCTCCAAGCCAGAAGAGAAACAGGACCCCAGATCCACCAGCATTAATTATCCACAGATCCACGTTAAAAGCCACACACCTCCACAGGAGAAACCAGAGGGCCCTCTGCCTCACCTGGGTAGTTCTGGCAGCCCCCAGCTGTAGAGCCCCGTGTCCAGCGGCCTTTGAAGAGTACCAGGTTCCATTTGTGTATCTCCTCACAGCTCAGAGAGTCCGGGGACAGGTTGCATATCTCCAGACGGGAAAACTGCTTCAAGAAATCAGAAAAGGACATCCTGAAGAAGAAAGGAACCAGAAGGGAGTGAGACAAATGGGCCTGATCGGAAGAGATTAAAGGCCCCAGAAAGAACTCTGTCTCTAACAGCTGTGGGCTGCCTGAGTTTCTTTCTACAGCCCAGTCACACAGACAAGCAGAGCTACCATTCAGATTTGTTGCTGTGGTCAGTGTCTCAATTCCTAGAGAATCTCCCCTCTGTATCTCCCAGCCACACAAAATTGGAACCATGAACCAGAGGAACCCTCCACTCCTCCTGGGAGCAGGGATGTGAATGCAGTCCTCACCTCTAGGCTGGATCACAGCTAAGCCCACCAAAGGCTCATTTCTGAGGAATTCTCCATGATATCCAGTGTGGACATTTCCTGTACAACATTCTATCTTCCAAGGGACCCCCTGCATCCCCCCAGGATCCTGTTTTGACTATAAGCTAGGCCTTAGGATTGGCTGGGGGTAGGGGGATTGGTTTAGGCTCACAACAAACAGGCTTCAGGCCAGGCCATGTTGTTGGCACAGAGAGCTGCGTTCCAATGCTTTAGACATGAGAATGGAGGCAGAATTATACAGTTATACCAGAGGAAGGGGAAGAGAAAAACAAAATCCCCTGTGTTAGGAACGTCGTCACATTCGTGCAAGTCCTAGAGACTGGCCCTCCCGTACACTTTGGAACAGACTGGCCACAGGGCCCTTGGTGCAGCCTCTCACCAGAACTCGCCGTCTTCTGCTCTCTTGTCCAGCTCTTCCTTCTTCCTTGGATCTATGCAGTTCCACTCAGGTGCACTGTGGAGGGGGAAGAACGAGCCATTCCTCAGGTGGTCATTCCTGAGATACAAGCTGTTTACTGCAGCTAAATGTCCCCAAAGGACCACAAACGGGATGCACCCATCAAGGGAAGAAGACAGACTGGACCTGGTGTGAAGTGCTGTACCACTGGGGGAATGGGTGAAGCCGAGGATGTGGGCTCCTGCATGGCCTAGGCATGCAGCTGAAGTGTGATGGCTTTGTCTAACTTCCAGTCTCTGGGCAAGTTTTACATTCCAACTAAGACTCACGGACTTCTCACCGTAGGAATAAGGAGATCCTGTCACACAAAAGGCATGCATTCCTCTATCTATGGATAACCTGCCAATCTCCTATCAGACTGGGACCAGCCAGCTCTGGGTCCATAGACGCTGTCCACCTCCTAAGTCTACAGCTTTGATCATCGGGCCCAGTTTTATAGAAATTTTCCTCAAGTGTCCAGTTGGTGGCCTTTCTGTGGCGATATCCACATGCTTTATTCAAATGTCATCTACAGCTGCCTGACCTTCACAACTTTGGGTTTTCCTGAGATGCATGTGCAATACCTAGATAAAGGAACAGGGTTAGTACCAATCCTAAAAACAAACAAAAGTTCTTCCCTGAGCACACTCAGAAAACAACCCCCCATTCTTCCCTCCCCAGCTGAAAAGGCCAGGCCCAGCCTCTCCCTCCAGCTGGCTTCTAAGCACTTGGATTCTGGGACTTCATAAAGTCATTGAAACATCCATTCAATCAGTACTGAGTCCCACTGTGTGCTTATTTAAAAAAAAAAAAAAAAAAGGTTAGGGATCCAATGGAGAACTCTAGATCTAATCTAAATCTACCAGCTGGCTTGACTTTGGGGTTTTCAAATGTAAACAACACCGCTGGATGCTGACTGAGTTTAGACATGTCATCTCAGACCTTCAGTGGACTTCCCCAACTGCCAGCAGGTCAGTAGCCCAGGCAGTTCTCTGGTAGGGGACACGAAGGACATGGGTGCCAGAGAACAGCCATCCCAGGACCTCACCTCCCCTGACTGACTCCCCTTTCCCCTGGATAGGCAGCCCAAAGACTGTCTTCCCAGCCAGGGATCAGCACCCATCCAGTCTTGAACTCATGGTGCAATGTCGTCCCATTCACTACTGCCTCAGTGGGCCATGGCTCCCAGGATCAATGTTCTCCTGACATCTTAGTTTTCTGTTGGTACTGATGGAGCAGTCTTTGTGGTGTGGGAACATCAGATTTGCGAGCTATCGATTTAACCTTGTAGCACCCAGTGTGGTAGGCAGGAAATAAGTAAGCCTTCAGCACTAGGCAAATTCCCATGGAGCTGCCAAAGTTTCAAGTGTCAAAGCAGAAATCCATAACCAAAAACATCATCAGAGTGGTTTCTATTCTGCTTTTCCCATCCTAGAACTGTTTCCACAGCAGGCTATATAATCTATAGAAGGTAAGCCCTGCAGAACCCACTGAGCAACGGGTCCCATTGTGTATAGTGTGTATAGGACCTTCGTCCAGCTGAGCATTGAGAAAGGGGAAGAGGGTCATACTTATCACTCCAGGCTCCCGACCACTCCACTTCACCCCACGGGTTCCTCAACCTGATCAGCTTCTCTGGGTGGCCACGGAAATCCACCTGCAAGATCCACACACCACACAGACGAATCATTCGTGACTGCTGCCTGCAGTGTGTGTCTCCACCCAGGACAGTCAGTGTTCCAATGTCACTGAAACACCACATGTTCATTTCCTCCCCATGCTTGTGTTTAAGCCTTGGTCAAGTGTTCTTTTCTTCTCACAAATTATTAGAACAAGTAAAGAGTGAATTTACCACAAATCGACATATGTATCTACATAAACGTGGGTCTACATTTTATAGTTGACTTAAGTTGGACCTCATTCTGGGTATCAAATATCCCATAAACAAAGCCAAAAGCATGGAAGATAGAGATAGAGACAGAGACAGAGGGAGAGACAGAGGGAGAGGGAGAGGGAGAGGGAGAGGGAGAGGGAGAATGGTTTTTCAAGATAGGGTTTCTCTATGTAGCCTTAGTTGTCCTAGAACTCGCCCTGTAGACAAGCTGGCCTTGAACTCATAGAAATCTGCCTGTCTCTGCCTCCCAAGTGCTGGGATTAAAAGCATCTGCCGCCGCCACCTCCACCATCACCTAGCCCAACTTTTATCTATTGCTTACTACTGGGTTAGGTGCAGTGCTAAGCATTTCAAATACACAATCACTGCATTTAAACTTCACAGCTTGATGTAAAAGTATGAGTCTTGGAGAAGGCCAGTAATTCAAAATCACTTAGCTGTATAACTATCACCTCCTGCAGAAAACTCGTAAGACTTGAGGAGTTAAGGAAACGTGGAGGCCCAGGAAGTTCCTGAAAGTGACAAGATTCTCAAAGCCCCTCCCTCAGGTTATAAAAGTAGTGAACAGTTGCAGGGCAAGCAGAGGTTCTTCAATGAATGCTGACTCCAGATCAAGCAAGCAGCTCCAGGGATGCCCATGTGCCCCGCCAGCCATGGTGGCTTTCTGGTGATGCAGTTGTGCTTGAGTCATACAAGCCCATACATAACCCCAATATAACCACTGGTTCACTGAGGTGATCTGGGTAGATCTGGTAGATCTGGTAGATCTGGGTGGGCCTGTTTCTCTGTTACCAGTGCCTTATTCAGGTGAGCAGATGCTTGCTCACACCTCTCCACAGCAAGGGCAGAAGCCCAGCAGAGGAGCCCCATAGTCTAACTGTATAAATGCCTTCAGACAGCTGTGGTAAATTTTTATCACTGCTGTCTTGAGATTTGCAGGTGGAACTTTCAAGAGATTAGAACATGCAATGGAATTAATGTCTGTCCTAAGAGCCTGAGTTCATTCTTCTGGCATGAGGTCTCCTTCTCTCAGGACTGGACTAGTCGCTAAGAGTGATAAAAAGCATATCTAGCCAGCATTGTTTATGTTTTCTGCATCCACTTATCCTTTCAATTGATGCTGTAAGGAAGCAGCATGAAGCTACCCAGCATTGGGCTTCCCAGCCTCCAAATACATGAAATAAAAGAAAAAGCCTTTTTTAAAAAATAAATCATCCAGAATCAGGTATTGTGTTATAGTAACAGAAAATGAACTAAGATACTCCCTCACCCTACTATTTAGTGAACACTCGAGTATGGTCCCCATGCATCCCTGTACACATGCTAGGACTCACATACACTCATAAAGATTCCAGTCTGTTAGTCTTTATCCTCCTAATTTCCATAAAACGCTAGCCTGAAGTTCCCTCATACATATTCGATTCACGTTTATGGAGCTGACTTGATTTTACAATACCATACTCAACAGAGAGATACGTAGTAAATGTCACAATGACAATAACCAGCAAGCTGGTATACTGGAATGTGGCTCTTTCTGCATTGACTACTAGAAAACCTAAAGAAAATTCATTTCTCAGTTGTGGCACCATTTAGATTGATGGACTTTACCTTTGTCTTATGGTCCACTTATATCTATGCTTTTAGCCATAAATCAAGGTATTCAAATCCTATTTGGACATAGATAAACCATATGAAATAAAAATCATGTGTAGTACCTGGCAATGCTGAGGCCAGAAAATGAGGAATATCTATGTGCATTCTCATTATTAAATACCATCCTGAGCACTGCAGTAGAAACTGTTACTTCTTTTAGGAACGCCTATGGGCTTATGCTGCTTGGCCTAAACGAACATTTGTTTGGAATGTGTGTATAATCTAGCTGACATTTGCAATGTATGTAGAATCTAGCTGATTGTCCCTATAACTTTTCTGACCACATCTCATGAAAGAATTGAGTTTAATTAAAACCAGAGAGCTCGAAGCCAGAGTGGCTCAGATATTGTCCTTGGAGAAGCCAAGAGTCAGAGCCTCCTGTAACAGACAGGAGTTAACTGCACATCTGTCTAGGGCTCTGAATCTAGAGAGAAACTTGCCCTGGGCCAGCAGGCAAGCTCAAAGGCATCTCCAAACTTCTCAGTGTCACCTCCTGCAGCCTCCTTGAGATGAACCAGACTTTGGCTGTCATTCATATTAACCCCTTCCTACCTCTTCGACTCCAGTCACAGAGTACGCATGACCCTTAACCAGCTTTTGCCTGGTGGTGGCTTCTGCTTCAGCTGCACTTGAGACCTGTGTCAAGAAGAAAGTCCAATCAGTAAGGCTGACCCTGACCTCTTTGGGGTCAGCACTACAATTCTTTCTCACAGTACAGAAACCAGCCAGGGACCCCCCCAGGTGGGGACAATGCTGGGGTGGCCACAACCCATGAGGAGAGGGACCCATTTCTAGGGAACCCACTTTAATAAGCCAGTCAGGCACTGAGCAGCTGCTGAGGCTGCAACGTGACTGAGAGCACAGTCATGCTGCCTCAAAACAAGCAAACAAACCTACCCATGATGACAGCCACACAGAAAAAGAACACATGACCAGACAGATAACAAAATGGTTCTCAGGTTAGTGGCTTCCAGATCTGATATCTAAGACCCCATTGGCATTCTATACAGCCAACCTTCCTGTCAGAGCTGGGCCCTCCACATTCACTCAGGGATCTCCAAGTTCACCAAACATTGTCAGCTGCCATGTTTGTTTCCCCAAAGACCGAGGTGACTTAGAAGAAAGATGGTAAGTAGACAGTGCCTAGGATCCAGGGACTGGGCTGTGCTCTCGGGATGAGTCGGCCATATTAAAGCAGCTCCAACCATTACCAGCCAAAGATAATTTTAAAATGTGACCAACCCTAGTTCCCACCCACTCACTGGGCGTCACCATTTTCTGTACACTGTAAACCAATATGTCACCAGAGAAAAGAGACAAAGAGTTAGGGCTTACATCAATGGAGCAGCCCAGCAGAGAGCCTTTGCGGAGGGCCTTCTGGATGATGTAGTACAGGTTGCCCGGAGGCTTCCTCAAGTCATAAAATTCAGAGATGCCACCGGTGAAATCCTCAAACCCCTCAATTGTGGAGCCTCCAGCAAGAGCCTCATACGAACCATTAAGCCTGTTGAAAAAGAAAGAAAATTTGCACTATCCACAGCCATGGGCAACCCCAACAAGGGGACCATGGGCCACAGAAATGGACAATGCCAAGACATAGGCTAGAGGACCAGGGAAAGACCCTGGCCAATTATGAGGAGAAGCCCAGAACACACACAGACTTCTATTTCAGACAAACACTTCAGAATACACACAGGCTACTCTTTTTAGACAGACACCTCAGAACACACACACACAGGCCACTGTTTTAGACAGATACCCCAGAATTTGCCTAGAAACAGATCCTTAAACAGCCCCTCCAGGCCTCTGAACTTCAAAACCAAGTGTAACCCTTCCAGAATTTGCCCTAACTACTTGGGTTCCTGGGGTGTCCAGGCACAGATAGGAATGGGGAACCCTCCCTTGAGGCTGGAAGGTTTCTGCTAAGGATTGCCTTAACACAGCCAGAAACTTACTGGAGTGTTAGAATAGAGTGACTGCAAGGCAGAATAATTCAAAGAAACCCAAAGAAGCCATTGAACTTGGAATGTCAATCAAAAAAAAAAAAGTCACTCCTCTTCTTCTTCTCCTCCTTCTTCTCCTTCTTCTCCTTCTTCTCCTT